GTTCCTTGTTTTGAAATCAATTCGTTTTATTATGATGTTTTAAAGCTCAATTACCAGTAAACGAAAAACCCTATTTGCATCAACACGTGCAGCTATAGCTCGTTTCGAAACGGTTTTTTATTCCAGTTATAAGCCCCCTCGGATATAAGCCCCTCCATATATAAGCCCATCTAAAAGCCCTTACGAAGTTGTATTAAAGCACAGGGATTATAGGCAGCAGTTTACGGTACACCCGAGTGTATAGAAGAAAGTGCAAACAAGAACTGGTCACTGTACTGCACATCAACTTGCTAACTTTATTTTCAAGCTTACAACCTTTCGTGTGCCGCTTAATGCATCCAGTATTCCATTTCCCGGGAGAAGGCAAGTGTCACGAGAGCAAATAATATTTATGCTCCCGCTTTGCCGCACACAGAATGCATTAATTCGTCGACATACGAACACAATAAACTGTAAAGAAGAAATTTAAACTTTATGTACTGAGATCTGTAAGCATCATATATGTATGTAAGCTTGAGTTATGCCCTGCTGATCAATCGCATAGTATGAAGGATTGGTAGATACAAAGAACAGCTAACAAGCCCTGTTTACAGGGTAGCTATGGGTTACCCTACTTCCTTGTAAACAGGGAGACGCTATCTACGGTAATTACAGGGTTGATGCCACACAATTCACGGCGTTTTGACACGTGGAAGTATTAAATTTTAATAAACTATGCTTACCTGGCCAAGGAAACAGTGTGACGTCGGCACGCCGGCTAGTTAGCTAAGAAAAGCAGTCATCTTGACGTTTGCCTCAACAATAGCTGCCGAGCTCGAGGTCGAATATTTAACCCTTATATTTCCAAGAAAGCGGCAGGAAGTCATTTATGTCTCTTTGGCCGGTTGAAATGTATCCTTTTTGAAATGACGATGAAGCCATAACGGTACAAGATAGAATGAAGACAGCTTCTGTCGCAAGGAAAGCCTGCCGCAAAGATAACTCAGTGAGGCGCGTTACAGCGTTACTTTGCCTGACTCGACCCAGCCTCCCAACAAAACACCCCTCGGCAGACCTCTTTCACTTCCGTTTGGAGAAAGAGAAGGAAAAAGATTTCTCGGTCTTGGTACAAAGATCAAAAAGAAAGTATGGCAAGAGAGGCTGTGCCAGTGTACTAGCAGTAATCAAAGATTAGTGGTCTGCATTCGATGTTAAAATTAAACAATCCTGAAATATTAAAATTTCGAGCAGGAGGTCTGTACGGGAGCCTGAGGTCGTGATTACGGACCGAATGCAGTGCGGTTTGAACACATGACCGGCGCAAACAAGAACAATTTAATTAGTTCAATGTAACTGGTTTGTACTAGCTGATATTTGCTTGCGAACGGCGATGAGTTGAACTTAAATCTGCCAAACTTTGCTCGTCAACCTCTTTTTCATCAGGCTTTTTGGCACTTTCGTGAAATGAATATTTTTAAAAGAAAATAGTCAATATTTTTGTATTTTAGTTAGCAAGGGTTTTTTTTAATCTGCTGCTAAACTGATGAGTCTCCGCGATCCCATACTCGGTAAACGCCCGCGCGGAAGGTGATCAGTTGTTTACGTTTCTCGTGTCTCTTTTGTGAACATTTAAATGAAATTGTCCTCCAAACATGAAGGACCAAAAAACTGTTTATTTTGTGCAATGAATTGAAAAAGCAACTCGCCGAAATTATTTCTTGAGCGGTCCATCTTAGGGGTCCGTATTGCAAAATTCGGACCGCTAAGGAAACCAATCAGAATTATCATTTTCATTGTTCAGTCATCTGTAGAAGGGGGAAAAATAGGCACGCAATGCGTGCATGTGTTTACTGCGAGATGTCATCCTTTTGTTTTTCTGCAGTAAGAAGAGCTTGCTTTATACTCCGATGTAATTTAATAGTGTTTTAAATAATACAGCATTTTGTCTACGATCGTATGCTACAACCGATCACAAAAGTCGCTATTTTTTGTAATATATTTTAAATTTAGACTGAAGTAACGCCACGCATGAGGTTTTTGTGTAGTCATTTAGGACATATTACGTTTCTGAGACAGAGAAGTACTCTCTTTCATGCTACATGTCTAATCTACTTTATTCCTCATAATCATTCTCTATATCTAGTTCAGCCTACTTTCACACAGGACTAGCACTTTTACCTCATGCAGTGGTTTCACAATATTGCAGTAAGGAGTGACCAGCATAATAGCATAACGGTGTTGCTATAATAATCATTACACTACAGTCTCCTCTTACACCCATATGGAGGTCTAAGAGTTAACCGAATCCTGAGGTACAACATTGAAAAAGAAGGGAGGGAAGGAGGAAAATAGATAGCCTTCCCAACACTTTCGTCACTGATTGCAGCTGTCAGTTACAACTCCTCAGTTATTGGATTGGAGAGTTCCGGGAGATCATGGGCCGCCGTCTGATAATCGCCTGTGCTTTCACTGGTTACCAACTTAATCTTTTGCTGCATTACTAACATAGGAAATTTCAGGGTGCTGATTATATACAGTGTATACGCGTGTACTGTGAAGGAAACAAAAACGAAACGGAACCCTACTTGCGGCTCCGCTGGACGATCAGACACAGGAGGGGTAATTGCTAAAATAATCACCCAGTATTTGGGTCTGGATTCGATCTTGGATAAGAGTTTTGATCTCATGCCTCAGCTAAAACTGGGAAATATCCGAGTGATATTCCCAATTTTCAAAACTGCGCGTGTTGCGAAAAATATTTGAAGGATAATAAACACAGCGTTCATTTGGCGAGAAAATATGCTCAGATATTTGTCCGTGGACATTATCTGTTCCTAGAAGGGAACAGTTTTCCGAGGGCGTAGAATACAAGAATAGATAAGGATACTAAGGGTCAATATGTAGTTCCTCAGGAGACTGCGTATGGTGCAACCAACTTAACTAACTATAGCCACACAGTCTTAGCTACCGGGTGACAACATAATCATTAATTACAAAAAAGGACAAATTCTAAAATATTAAAATTCTAATGTTCTAA